CTGGATGCTGTTTTGTTCTATTTTTCAAAGAAGGCCACAAGTGGGGTCCTCTGCGCCTTCCTCAAACCATCAGTTCCTTGACAAACAGCCCATTTGCTATTCCCTCCCCATCTCTCCCAAGGCATCAAAGAGCTCAACTGACAGTGACAGACCACCTTGCAGCTCATGGATAACTTGCTGGCAGGCAGACACCACCTCCTTCTCCCCAAAGTCCCTCGATACAAAGGACAAAGCAACGCCTGTACAAACGTCACCCATAACATGCTGCTCAGCCGACCAACATCATCCCAGGCAGAGAAATACCACGGTTTCTGCTGGAAGGCAGCAGAAGCAGCTCCCAGCAGCAGAATGCCCTGCTTTGTCCTGAAATGGAGCACAACCCTCTCGCCCTTTGCCATGTTCCTACCCGCCTTCCCAGCTCCCAACTTTCAGCCCTTTCAACACCCACAGTTTCTCCACTCTGCTGCGAAGCGATGAGAAATTCCCTACCAGAGGACATTGTTCAAATGGGTTATTGAAAAGAAATGCAATTCCCTACTCCAGGCAAACAAGCTCTTTCTTTTCCCCTTGAGGAAGAAGGATAATAGCACAGCAGGGGGGAAAAAAACCAACCCCAACAACAACAAAAAAACCTATCCCCAAAGCCTGTTGTAATAATATTAAATAAGAAACGAAAGGGGTTTGGCCAGGAAAATCCCAAGTTCAAAAGAATAATTGCTCCAAGAGATTTAAGCCTACAGCTGAGTCACTAAAGTGAAGAAACCTCTCCTTGTCCACAGAAAGCAAACAAATCTTGGGTCATGCAGCAAAACTTCTGTATGTCCTTGTTAGAAAGAAAGAAGAAAGAAGCCAAATGCAATTAATCATAGTCCCAGAAGAAAGGATGAAATCTTTGTAATTAGCTACCTAGGCTCATCTTTCCACTTTTGAAGACTAATCCAGCCACCTTCTTTCACCCTTCACCCACAGTCCTGCCACAAAAGTCTACTACAAATACCAAATCACTTCTTTCCAGGGATACACACTCACCTGCAGCCTGTGGTCCCCCAACAGTTTTGCAGTAAGTGTACAGGGAGGGGTGAACATGTACAGAGAGCAAACAGAGCTCCTTTTCTTAGTCACCTTTTGTGGATGAGCTGTCATGAAGTTTGTAGACTCTCCAAGAACCTGGAGACCTCACCTGAACTACAGGAGTTATTTTCAAGCTAGGTATTTTATATCCACAATCCTGATCCAACTGATCAATGACCAGCAAACACCAATTAAAAAAAAAGGCACACAAACTTGAAAACACTTTCCAAATGGTTAAGATTACAGCCGCTTATGTTAATAAATTGGCTTATACCTCATCCTGAGGTGGTGTAAATTTGCCTGACCATCGCCCTGCCGATAGAGAGCATGTTGTTCACAGCTGTATGCACTATTTGTACAGAGGTGAGTGGACAGGACTGTATATTAAGAGCAAGGTCTCCAGAAATTAAATTCAGTAAGGTGAAGCCAGCTGGCGAGCAGCTCCTTTAATTGCGAAAGGCAAAGCCACATTCCACAGATGAAACATGTCCAGTCTGAGTAAAAGTCACAATTCCTTTGCTACAGCTTCATTCAAAGTTTTGGAAAACATGAGGGAAATGTGTAGTACTTTAGAGAGAGGAAGAGGAAGGGCTGGAGCTGGTGGTGGCTACAGCTTAGGAGCTGAGGTCAGGATCGGACATCCAAAAAATCCTATGCAAATCAGAACAAGCCATTCAACTTCCCTGGAGCCCCCTTAAATAATAAGGGTTGACAAATATTATTCCAACAATGAAAACAACAACAGACCAACTCTTTAGGTCAAGTGCATCAATGGTAAATACAATACAATGGAATAATACCAAAATTACATCAGCTGAGGAACTGAGACCGATTTCTACCCCCTCTCTTGTATATAAACCACTGTTAACATATGAATAATGCTGTCAACAACAGACGGGGAATGCTGGCCAGCTTTGTGGTGAGGGAGAGCGAAGAATGCAGAGTGGACAGAAATCTCCAGCTTTGCTCTTCCATGACACAGCAGAAACACTTATTTTCAAAGGAAGGAGATTGGGTCATTCTCCTGTGAAAAAAAATGGAAGCGATTACGCAGCTCCAAGTACAGCTGGAGCCTTCCTGTACTAATGTGGGAAACAGGGAGGGATGATTAACAGCCAGTCTGTGGGATGCGGCAACAAGGCCAAGGAGCCTCAGGTATGTCCATAATGGAACACCCACTCCTTTCCCTCCAGGTCAGTGCCACAGACACAGCCAGACGTGCTGGGGATGCTCTGGGGGCTGGTTGGTTGCACATAGCTGTCTTCATCTGTTTGCAGGGCTGAATTCCCACTCACCACCAATACTCGCCAAAACACTTAAAATCAGTAGATTGCTCCTCTCATCTTTCCAGAGAAATCTGGCAGAAGAGCTAAGCACGGTGTCAAAGCAAAGGTGGGATCTGGCTGCAGTGAAGCTTGCTACCAAACACCCAGAGTGGCCTTCTCAGCCTGGAGCTGCTGTTTATAAAATCAAATCAACCCTCTGCATGCCAGGGTGGTCAAAAGGGTCCTGCCAGCATGCTGGAGTTTGTCCCTTGTTGATGGGAATTCCTGCCATCCTTCCAGGGGGATGCACAGATCTTCATGGAGAAAACCAAATGCTGCTGGTGATGTCAGATACACAAAATCCTGTGGTAGATTAGAAAGTCCCATTTTAAATTAAGTTAGATAGCCAAGATCATTCTGAGCTTTTCTATTCTTCCTGTTTAATGGTGCCTCACCTGGAGCACCAGTTCTGACCCTTTCTATTCTTCCTGATTGATCGTGCAACCCTCTTGGCCGGAAAATGAACCACTGACTCAATACAGAGCGACTTAGCGGTCAAAGTGAGGAGGGGATACCTCCTCAAACGACCACCGAAGACCACCTGAGACCCCTGTAGACCACCTGAGACCCCCGTGCATCCAGAGAAGGCATCTGATGTGTTATGGTTATGTAATCCTATGCATATGCATTAGATAGTTTCAATATGTATTAGGTAGGAGTAGTTTAATAAATTAGATGCAATTGTTACTGGATAAAAGGGACACACCTGATGAGTCTGGTGTGCTTGATTTGTGGAAAGTCCACAGAGCACCCTGCGCAGAAAAAAGCAATCTCTCTCCTGAGCGGGTGAGATTGGTCTATTGAACAGCGGGTAACGAAGCTGCTTTTAGGACAACACTGGCAGACAGGCTGCTTTCCCCAGTCCTGCTACAGGACAGAAGCACAGCCTCGAAACCACTGCGATGGGATGCTCCGGCAGCCAGGCACGAACTGCGAGCCGAAGCCGCCCTCCGCCGGATGCAAGGGAAACAACCCCTGCCGTGGGAAAGTCAAAAGCCATGGAGTTTTTCGGGTGCAGGTCCCTTACTTTCCCATCATTACGGGCAACATTTGCTTTCCTCAGCGTTATGTTGCAGGCACAAAGTGTAAGGGCTAGGAGCTTTTCAGGTTTCAAGCAAGAGGAAGAAAACTCCTGAGGCTGTCTGCAGCAATTAATTGGGCCCAACGCTGCCGAGGTACCGGCGCAGAGTTTTCAGGGGCTACTCCCTAAGGCTGCAAGGTTAAAGTCTTCTACTCAATTAACCTTGGCAAAGATTTGAGACACAAAGTAGCATCACTGCAGCACCTGAACGCATGTGGACACACAACAGGGTTCAGAGAGCTATGCATGACACCTCACATCATAACCGAGCGTGCCCCATGCAAAATGCCCAGGTGACATATCATCATATATAGTCCGCAGTGCTTATGGCGCTAGGACAGGGATCATGAAAAAAAAATCAATGACATTTGACTTAGCTGCCTGAAGTTCATGAAAATTGATTTTTAATGAGGTAGCATTGCGGTACACATGAGGGGAGGTGGGACAGATGCTGGTAAGGCGGCCGTGGGTGGCTGTGGTGGTGAGAGGCAGCTGCAGGCAGCACTGGTGGGCAGACCGACGGTGACACCGAGCAGACGCTGACTCTTGCCAGCAGCACCGATCCCTTTCAGGACAAGCCCAATTCCTGAAAACCAGAGCTTCCCCTAATGATCTTTAACCTCCGTCCTATGCTGTAGAATGGCTCTAATGCTCACAAAGGTTGAAAAAAAAAGTTATTTCCATGCTAACCTGAATCTGCAGAAGCAAGTGTCTGTAATAAAAGAAGCAGAGCAAATTAAACACCCAAAACCTCACAAGGGATGGGGTTTTTTTCCCCCCACCAGAGAAATGCAGAGGAATCTTCCAGGAAGATTACAGCCATGTGCACTTCCCTGCCTGCAAAGTTCTTCGACACACCACAGCTTTTGAGCTTCCTTTACTAATAATGATCAGCAACTGCTAAGTTCAGTACAATTGGGCATTTCTTTCCTGTTGCAGCACATAAGAGAAGGTGGCAGCCTGCTACGATGTGCCAAGCTATGGAAAGCGAACAGGGAAGTGGCAGACATGTGCTTCATCCTGCTGTAACAAGGTTAGACCTCCTCACTCTTTTTTTCCACTGTCCCAAGCTTGCTTTCCCCTTTCCCAAGGTCTTGCTCTATATTGAGCATCCCCCAAGCACATCAATTTCCTCACGAGTTTCACACTGCTCCCAATTTCCTTTTCTCAGCTGTACAACACTGTTTCTTAAAAGCAGGCTATGCAGTGCGTGCTGTTTTTCAGCACACTCAGCTCCTAAAAGACAACTGGGAGACAGACAGACTCCATTTCTCACTTCAACTTGTTTTTAAGTCAATTTAAGTAGATGGAAGGTAAGATTTTCAACAAGGTCTCCTTAAAAACAGTGGAAGTAGTTCTTTGAAGCAGTATGGAAAGCAAAATTTTGAGTTCTGGTATGATCCTCTACTGCCACCAGCAGTAAGAGAGCATTAAAAGCTGGGCAGGGGGTGGAAGCAAAATACCCCTCAGCAGCTCCCTCAATTGTTGCAACAAGGCCAACACCGAACAAGTGGGACACTCACCCAAATTTGGTGGAGAGGACACCTCCCAGGGCAGAGCCGATGATGATGCCTATTCCAAAGCAAAGACCCAGCTTCCCCAAAGCATCAGTGCGTTGGGAAGGAGTAGTCAGGTCTGTAATAAGCTTCTGAGCACCTGCAGGGAAAAAAATGCCATGAAAGAAGCTTGCCACAGGGTCTGGGCAGCAGGTATACACATTTTTAGGCCACAGCAACAGCACCTGCCACTAAATGGTCCTTGCAACCCCAGGGCAAATGCTCATGCACACCACTGAGTGGAGTTGGTTCAGCCCATCAGTAGTAGGAAACAAAAACACTCAAACAAACCACTTCACAAGTGGCAAGAAGAGGCTTAACACCCTATCAACTTGAGTCCTGTTGCATGAGTTACATGGACTTCTAGAAGCTAAAGGTTGTTTATGGTTTTCACTAGGAGCATATAGAAAAGGCCAACTAAAGCAGAACAGCTTGGTGGGTAATGGAAGGTATTTTTGTAATCACATTTCATTTTGACCAATATGCTCATTTTACCAGGAGAAAGGGAAAAGCTCTCCTAGAAAATATCCTGGTTGCAAGAAGGTAGCTGTGAAGTTTGGGATAGCACTGCTGCCAGCAATTGATTGTCACCCATGTCCAAGCAATTTGCTCAAGATCATACAGGAGGACGGACTTGGGACTATGGGCTACTAGCCCTGCTTTCCATAACCAATACACCTGCTGCTTCATGTTCTCACCATTTCATCCCTGATGACCATCAAACGTTGCTCCTGCCTTCCTTCATGTTATTGATCCTGTTGGCTTCCAGCAATGTGAGCAAGAAGAGAGGAATTAGGCAATAAAAATAATTTGGAAAGCCCCTCAGCTCTGACCGACCTTACCTGGTATCCCATGCATGAACACTGCTGGCAGCCTGGAGAGGAAGAGGAGGGGGATGCTGGTGGAGATGGACATGAGCAGGAAGAAGGCACTTCCAGATGCACAGGAGAGAATTAATGCTGCTTGGGCGCCAAATTGATCTGCAAACCTGGTATAGAAACGGTACAATGTTATCAGAAGTGGGACCAGGCAGGTCATTACAAGCGTGATGCACCCCAGATGGATGGAGTTGCACAGCCATCTCACCCTCATTTATCCACCATGGGAAGCACTGATCAGATTCTCAGATGTGCTCAGTTCCCAAAAGAGGACTAGATATTCAGAGGAGTGCAGCCCACTGGGCCTGGACACTGGACGACCTCTCTTCATTGTTGACTACCAGCGATACAAAACTGCCTTGCAAAAAAACCCCAAATCAAGCCCCCCCCCCAACTGGAAGTCTTGCCTGGAGGAGGCGTGCAAGGACCAGTGCTGAAGCACCGGCTGCCCACCTGGGAACGCAGGCACTGCCACTTTGGTGTAACAGGGCAATGCATCAGCAACTGCCACAGTCCATTTCCAGACCCCTCGTGAGCACAAGATATGTGCTTGCTTAAGTCTCCTCCCCTGGCATTTCAATGAATAAATGTGGTTTATCTCAGAGCTGCTGAAGACCAGCCACAGGCAGAGGCAGCTACAGCAGCTCAGCTCAGTAACTCATTCAAATATTATCACTTTGGAGCACATAGCACCCTCAAATTTTACTTCTTGACTCTTAAAATTGGTTCAGACGAGGGTATCAGGCTAGCTAATTTTTTAGTTCATGTTCAACGGCAATTGAAGTTGTTCCAGTTTCTTTCCAGAGGATGTTCAAAGCAACATTTCTCATTCAGCATGACTTAAAAAAAAAAAAAAAAAGTTAGTTTTCTATTTAGATTCAGTAAAGACTTCACAAGAGTGACTCAAATTTCCTTCTATTTGAGGAAAAAGACAAACCAGCCAGATCAGGTTTTGGTTCAGGTTTTATCCAACTTCAAGATAAAGACCTAAGTTGGACAAAGCCAGAGAGTACCACAGAAAGGGATCTGAGCAACTGGGACTAAGATGACCATAAAACAGACCTTAGTGTTTTTCACTCCAGTTTCTCCTTCCTTCATTTTATTGAAGTTGCATATTACAGTTAGCAGATGAATGTTACCTTGCATAGCAATTAGTTGTGCTTACACTAAAAGAAACACCACCCCCCCCGCCCCCCACCCCCCAAAATGCCAAACTTTGGTCTACAAAGTTAAGCATAAGTAATTAAAGGGCTCTGAGTTGAGGAAGAGGTACAGGTCAAAACTTCACTGTTTACACGAAAGCCAGGGAAGTTTATATTAACAGTTTGTAACCTAAAGACCAGGATTCACTACATAGTCCAGAGCTCTTTTGGCTTTGTTACTTAAGAGTAAATTCAGTGCTTCCTCTTCTCATGGCTGTTTAGGACCATCAGGCAAGAACAACAAGGAAAACTGACCTAAGCTACACATTTTTCTCTCTCTTATCCCCCTCCTTCCCATTTTCTTTTTATCTACCTTTACACTGAAGTCAAAGCAGCCTCACATCTAGGAAAATCATTTTCATCTCAAACCTGTGTTGCAAATTTTGACTTCAATCTGGCAATATACACCTTCAGTCCCATCTACACCAGTGGGAGTCCGGACCCAGACAGAGTCTGGTTTGCCATTTTCCTTCCCTTCAGCATCTCTTCTGGACATTAGTGAGTGACAGGCACAGAGGAAAACCAGATTCCACATGGCACCAGATCCAGAACAGAAATATTACTCTAGCTTTGTATATTAATAGAAAAACTGTTCAAATTGGGCCCTTTGCACCACCTCTGTTCTTAGGAACGCATTTTCTTCCAATCTGCACTGGAAAATTTAATGTTATTGTTATTAATTTTAAAATGTGTATTATGGTAGCATCCAATGGCTTTTAGAGATCAGATCCTTAAAGTCCTACACACCATGTACCAGAGGATCCCGTAGAGCTCACAATCTACATGAACCAGAATGGTAAATCCCATGTGGGAAAACTGAGGTACACACCAGCTCCATATTCATTTATTACTTTGTTCATAAGTGGCAGGACTGAGAAGAAAAGCTAGATTTTTTCTCAGCCTCATTTTAGCTTCCTATCACTGAATTACACTGCTCTTTCAAATTTTTTCTGCTTTTTGGGAATGCATTCCCCTGTCACTCAAATTTTTTGGGGCCATTTACATTTCATTAGGAAGAGGAATGTGTGTCCTATGGGGTGGAGAAGCAGAAAAGTGAGTCTTTTCCACCCTTTTCTTATTTTGATAGATGAACTTAAAGATGCATCAATTCTTAAAGATTCATGGAAGTCTAGCTTTATATTTGTCATGGTTTACCCCCAGCCAGCAACTAAGCACCACGCAGCCGCTCACTCACTCCCCCCCCATCCAGTGGGATGGGGGAGAAAATCGGGAAAAAGAAGTAAAACTCCTGGGTTGAGATAAGAACGGTTTAATAGAACAGAAAAGAAGAGACTAATAATGATAATACTAATAAAATGCCAATAGTAGTAATAAAAGAATTGGAATGTACAAATGATGCGCAGGGCAATTGCTCACCACCCGCCGGCTGACACCCAGCCAGCCCCCAAGCGGCGATTCCCTGCCCCCACTTACCAGTTCCTATACTAGATGGGACGTCCCATGGTATGGAATACACTGTTGGCCAGTTTGGGTCAGGTGCCCTGGCTGTGTCCTGTGCCAACTTCTTGTGCCCTGGCTGGGCATGAGAAGCTGAAAAATTCTTGGCTTAGTGTAAACACGACTTAGCAACAACTGAAAACATCAGTGTGTTATCAACATTATTCTCATACTAAATCCAAACCATAACACTACACCAGCTACTAGAAGGAAAATTAACTGTCTCCCAGCCAAAGCCAGGACACCCACTGCAAGCAAGAAGACACAACATTAGCTTCACCCAGGGCCATCAGGCCAAGGAAAGGGCTCTAGGTGCTACTGCCGCACAAATAATAAACCAGCTTTTACTGCCTGGGCAAACCCTGAACCCAGTCACAGCTTGCCTGCTAGGTAGGAATACGCTTTCGTGTCTCCTGCTGCAAATTCTTTTCTGACTTTGCTGGAAAACTACATAGGCTGGCGTTGAAGGCAAGATGTGAAGCAGGACAACCCATACTCACAGGCATGACTCCCATCTGCATGAAGAGGAAGGTGAGCTCTAGGGTTGCAATCAGGTAGGCAACAAGGATCGCTTGTCCCCTCTCGACCTTTCCCGAGCAAACGGTCTCCCCCAGGGTCTTGCTCCTCATTCCCGAGGCTTTTTCCTCACCTCCAGAGCTGGCTTTTGGATTCATAGTGCTCATGGAACAACTTACTGCAGGCTGACAGGCTGAAAAATGACACAAAGGTGCTTTCTAGCTGGGAACACGGAGCATAGGTAAGGTGCAGAAGCTGTGTGTACAGTTCAAAGCTGACGGTGTGAAAAGTGCTGAGTCAGCATGCCAGGGATTTATTCCTTCTTTCTTTGGTTTTTTTTTCTCCCCTTTGCTTACTTGCCAGGCAGGATCAAAGGTAACCACACATCAAAGTGCTGATCTCCTCCTTCAGCCTCATACCAGGTGGGCTCATTACTTCAAGTACCATCGCAACAAAGACCAGCTTGAATGTTCCAGTGGGGTGAAATTGGACATTGCCCCCAACAAGAGCATGTGACAAACATCTTCAACTCTTAACTGTTTCACTCCTTTCGCTTTTATTGCCTCTGGTAGCTCGGTAGAGATGACTGTTTTAATTCTTCATGAAAGGCACTTTGATTTTATTTTTGGAGGTTGCAATTGAAGCTTACAGCACAACAGCCTTTTCCAAGGCCTCATGTTTCTTGCACTAGGTTTGTATAGATCCTGGAACAAGCATAGATCTTACATGCAGTTAGAGCTGCTCTCATCAACACCTCTAGCTGAGCCATTTTCCCTCCTTCACCAGGTGCTGCAAATTTATAGACAGGCTGAGCTAGCAAATGTTCGCATGTGGCTCCACTCAGACTACAAATTACCAGCCAATGCTGAAATCATTTAAAAAAAAAAAAAAAAATTAAATCCACACAAATCATGAGGCTGACTACAAACTGAGGAATTAAATAAACAAGACTCATTTGGTCCTTGGGGCTTTTGTTTGTTTGTTTGCTTGCTTGCTTGTTTACTTAGGGTTTTATTTGTTTGTCTGCTCACTTGTTTGCTTGGGGGTTTGTTTGTTTGTTTTCTTACTTGTTGAAGTCTGGAAGTCTGGTTGAGCATTATCTTTACTTTAAAGAGAAAAAGAAAGCAGAGATCCCAATTCCCTGATTTTGTAGAATCATGGGACTCTTGGTAGGAAGGGACCTCAGGAGACCTCATCTACCCTCCTGCTTGAACACATCAGCTCAGCTGTGGCTTTTTCTAGACAAGCTTTGAAAATCTCCAAGAAAAGCGATTTACCCCCTCCCTGAGTATCCGGGAAAGAAGTTTTTCCTAATGTCCAATCTGAATTTCTCAAGTTGCAGCTTGTGGGTGTTGTCCCTCATGGTATCAGCTGCCGCTACCAAGAAGAGCCTGGCTGCATCATCTCTGGAGCTGCCCTTCAAGTAGTTGCAGGCTGCTGTTAGATCACTCCAGCCTAATCTTTGATAGGCTGAACAAGCCCAATTCCCTCCACCTCTTTCAAAGATGATGTACTCTAGACCCCTAACCTTCTTGGTAGCCCTCCCCTGGGTCCAATCCAGTTTCTCCACAACCCTCTTGAACTGGGAGGCCCAACGCTGGGTCAGCCTCACCAGCACCAAGCAAAGGGGAATAACAACTTCCCCAGATGTCCTGGCCATGCTCTTCCTCAAATGGCCCATTATATGGTTTGCCTTATTCCTGATGAGCGTGTACCATTGGCTCAGGCAGCATCGCCATCACTCATGGTCCTCACACTAGGGTTGCTGCATATTCAGTCAGTGCCCAGCCAGCATTGATGCAGGTGGATATTCTGCCCCAGGCTTGGGGCAAATTGTCACAGCTTTCAACTTGTTGAAAACCTTGAGGTTTTGGTTGATCCAGCTGTCGTGTTTCATACAGACTCTCCAGCCTGAGGCTCCATCATTGACCATGTCATCCAGTCCCTCTAATTTAGTAACACCTCTGTTCAGAAATGGAGGCTTGCCTCGCTGTGAAGGCTGACGCAGACACATCAATACAGGGACACACACAGACATTTGCTGGCTCGGATCTGGAGTGGCTGTCAGGGCTCCCAGGTTTCCAACCAAGCCCAGGGAGAGGGAACTGTAAGATCTCTGGGCACACCTTTTTATTCAACACATGTCGCCGCAGAGCCCCGGGATTTGGTGAGGGCTGCCAGGCTCTACCTCCTGGCGAAGAAGAGGAAAGACCAAAGGTTTAATGTTTCACCAGGGGCAGGTACCATATTGCTAGACAGAAACAACCTTTTGCAAACTCAGCCAAAGCAGGAGTAAAAAAGCAACTTTAAAGAATGACTTTCCTACAGTGATACCAGCACAAAACCAGACCCAACTCACAATGCCCTAGAAGTCATTTTTGTTACCGAAGAAGGAAGATTACCCAGCGTGTATCCCAATTTAGCAAAGGATCAGTGTTCAACATTTGGTTCATCTCATCGTGAAACAATGGATTTGCCTGCACTTTGAATGTCCTGCAGCACAGCACCAACATCATCACTCCCTGGTTTGCGCTGGACAGGCACAATGTACAAATTACCAGCATTGAATAGACGAGTAAAATTAATGACAGAACTCTGTTTATGGAGGTTTCGAGACAACCAAAAAAGCAACTCATGCAAATGCAATGTAAAACACTGCTTACAGGAAACGTTGCTGACTTGGACTTAAAAAGCATCAATATTTGGACTGGTGAGTTTGTCTCAGCAGCAACTGAAAACAGATCCCAGCAAGGCGACCGAGGAGGGAAGCAATGACTTGCAGATGCAGCCACTCTTCACCAGATACAAGCCTCGTCCTGCCCAGGGCATGCAGTGCAGATGGCTAACCAGCCACATGCTGTCACTCAGATTTAGCTTCTTTTTACTGGCATTGACAAGGGAAATGGAGTAAAAAAACCCACAGAGTTTAATTTTCAGCCGCTGGGGCAAAAGACACAGTTCTGAGAAGCAGAGACCTAAACTCGGTGCCTGGTGTGGAGGTGACCATGGAGAAGGAGCTATGATCACCAGACTTGGTTCCTGTACATCACTGGATGCCTCTTGCTGGCTCAGTGCCCAAACCTGCTCCTCAGCATCCCAGATCAGGCTGCCCTGGGCCCAGCTCAGCGATCCTCTTCTAGCAATAGTCTCTTTGGGCAGGATCATTTAACTCCTCATCCCTGCACTTTGGCACAGACAGAACAAAGGGAAGAGGGTGGCAGTTTTAAGCCACGTTTACAAACCATGAGCCAAGCCATGTCCATGCTGCCCTGGCCACAAGGACGCAGAGATGAGCTGTGTTCTCCAAATTTGGCCAAGATGTTGGCAGCCCCAAATCAGTGGGGAAATAAAGCCCTGGCAGTGTCCTCCCACAAGGTCTTCTGCGCAGGAGCTTGGACTTTTCTGACTTGCAGCACCCGATTTTTAAAATCTTGCCCCATGTCAGTCTAGGGGCTAAATATGGCAGCACGAACACCGATGGAAAAACAGCCGGTGTGATTGATATAAGGCAGATCCTCCTTCTCCCCTGAGCATGAAGCCTGTCTGAAAATGTCTACAGGAGCCAAAGTATGATGAAGATTAACTCCGTTCCCAGCTATGCCCCACTGAACATCGTGTTTGCAGCTATCCAGCTAGAGGCCAGTTCATCTATACCTGTAGCAATAATGCACCATTAATGACAGATGGCATAGGCTGGTATTGCATTTTTATCTAAAGGCTCCTTCTGGCTCAATTACAGGCTACACCATGGGTAGCACTCGGTCACTGACAAGCCATCTTTAATAAATAAAGATTAATTTAAAAACTGGGGAGGAAAAAGTTATGAATAGGAAATGAATTTTCTTGTGTAGGATAAATAAACTTTAAATGGACAGACATTCCAGGGAGACAACGGTGAAAGCAAGCAAGGAGATAAATGTCTTGTGATGACACTGCAGATTAGGCCATTAGCTATGCATTACAGCCTTGACACTTATTCTCAACATTTTTGGAGTATTTATAGTTGCCTTCCCTGGTATGTCTTTCCTGGGGCCTATTTATCTGGTGATCTCTGGAAAAACAGAGTGGGAAACCTGAGAACATCTTTAAAAAAAAATTTATAAAGACTTACTGTTCACGTTACTTGGGCAGAAATCTTTTCTTAAATCACTGGAAATGGGAAGCAAGGCCAGCATATGCATGGGGAGGGGAAACCCACCCACAGCAATACCAGCAGCTGAAAATGTTGGTTGCAAAAGGATAAATTGTGGGGAAATAAATCCCAAATCCTTCTCTCAACTTGTATTTTTTCACAGAGGAAACTTAAAATGATCTGTAGCAACATGAGGTACCCTGGGTGGGATTCACCTGTCTGCAGAGCATCAAAATAAGCTTTACAGCCTCAAAAGAGCCTTGAAGAGGGATGGAAGTGCAGGTATGCTGCCCAGCGAAGAAGGGCATCTCTCAGGCCTCAAATCCGCTATGAATGCGAGGTGGCAGGTCTCTCCAGCTACGCAAAAAAACAGTGGAATGAACCAAATCCTGCTCCAGTGCAGAGCAGTCGTGAATCCTTGTCCTTGTGGATATGCACCCATACCTATGGCAAGTGTGAGAGCTGACTGGGAATGCCGGGAAGGGAATCGCTGCCTCTGGGGTCCAGCAAAGCTTTCATTTCTCCTTGCAAAGAGAAACTGCATTTCTAGGGGCTGTGCGCTGGGGGTGCCAGGAGGGACGTGAGGTGCGAGATGAATACTTATGAGCATACCTCAACTCTGTGCCCAAGAAGCGGCAAAGATAACCCTTCCCCTCCTTGCAAGAGCATCGCGAGGCCACTGCACCAAAACCAGCGAGGTGTGCAGATATTCGGACAAGGAGAGACATAAAAACACTTTATGGAGACACAGCCCTCGGGGAGCTATCATCCTGGTGATGTTTCTTAAGCTCTGTAAAACAAGAGAGGAAATGGAAGAAATATCTCCAAGCGATTCCCCAGTAGTGGGAATGCTGAATTGCCGTAATGAGGGAAACCGCTCAACACCAGCCACGGTCGGCGGGAGCCGTCAAATCTGCAGGATCTGGCCCGATCCCTCTCTTCCCCCGACCCCGACACTGAGGGAACCAGTCTCATTTGTAGTCTGGTGAAAGATTTATACAGTTAAGCAAATAAGAGCATAGACGGCCCGGTATT